CTTAGGGGGTCTTTCATGCGGGTCCCCACATCTGTACCCCAGAGTTCAGAGTGGGGAAGGAACCCTGACAGATGTCCACACCAGAGGAGAGGAGCGTAGAGGTGGCAGGAGCATTTTTGATAACCGTTCTGGGTTTTCAGCCTTAGTCACTTCAGTATTTGAGGAGATACACACTGATCTTTCCAGTAAGATGTTTTCAGGTGTGCTCCCTCACTTTTTGCATTCTCTGAGAATGATCTACAAAGTGAACACCTGTCAACAATGTGCTTTCTCCCAAACCCAGTAGGCAAGTAGTGTATTCATTTTTGAGAAGCATTATTGCATCCAAAAATGGTAATTTTTAAACCCTAGAGACTTCTGCTCTGTCACAGCACGCAGAACCTGGGCAGTCTCTCAGGGAAAAAGATTTCCAAACCGAAGAAATGAACGGAAAAAAATCGTATCACTGATTGCTAAACTAATTACCTAGAGTTTCTTACAAATAATGAGATGACCACACAGTAAGAATTCAGATATTGCCAAGTTCTGACGGAAAACCCCAGGCAGTGAGAAGGAACTGAGGAGCAACTGGCCACCTTTTGTCCCCTTGGCCAAAGGCAGGGAGACACTCAGGGAGAAGGTGCAACCTCCAATGGATACTTCTGGTCAAAAGAATCCAAACTTAAGTGCGCAAGGCACATGAGCATCAAGAGTGGAATATACATAGACAAGCACCTGATGAAGATGAGGGCTCTACTATCTAGGAAGAGAACTCCATAACATCATCCTGTACGTGGATAGGAAACAACGAAAGAGGTAGTATTCTATTGTATGGGCCAGTCTAAAAGAGCAGCAGGTGTGAGTGAATATCAGATACTATTTTCAGGTTTAATGTTGTTCAGGTATACAGTGCAGGAAAGAGGTGCTGTACAAATACCAGAGAGAATACTAGTTGTTTCTGGGCCTCGCTGTTCCCATCTAGAAGCTAGTCAGATGCCCTATGTTGCTGCTACTGCTCTCTCCAGTTACCCCTTCAGACTGCTTCTGTGGGTGCTGCCTTCGAGAAGTCTCAAGCTGCCACAGATGCTTCAGTTGCTGCTGCTTCTTCAGGTAGCTGCTTCTCTTCTCCTTGCTGATTGATCTTCTCTGCTTGATTCCACACACTCACTCACACATCAGTCTGCTGGTTGTCAGACTTATATTCAGTCCCTAGTCTCCTATGATTTGTTGCTTTTCCAAATCTAGAAATTAGCATAGAACCTCCCTGCCTAATTATACCAGCTCAGCCAATCAGCTTGAATTTATTGGCCTAAACCCTCATATCGTCTAAATCTCCTTCTAGGTATTAGCATAAGTCTTCGTCCTAATTCCACCCTTCAGGCATTTTTTGAGAGGAAGGTGAGTCATGCCTGTTGAACTCTATTTCACCCCTATCTCTTATCTGCCATTGGTCAACTTAGACTGTGTCCTCCATTTTGATGTTTGCTAACAGAGAATCATCATTGGCACCATTTTGGATTTTTAACTATCATTAATTATTACTTATCTAAAACCTTAATTCTAAAAGTAACTACTGTTTTATTTAAGTTAAAGCATTATGATACCGTCACCCCCATTATGATGTAAATTTGGAGAGGCGATTTTCACGATATTTTTCAACCCCTCTGTTTTCCTCTGCATATCTCTGTCCTAGGTGCGGCAAGCTTTTTTTTCCTCTCTTTTTTCAGAGCAGCTAAAAGCAAAATCTCCTGTTTCACATCGGATGTTGTAAAGATTAGTGAATGCTTGCAAAGCACTTTTATAGTGCTCTACATGTTCAAAGTGCTAAGTATTATTAATCATTATTCAGATCAAAAGAACCTCCAGTTTATATTTGGACTAGATTTTGCAAGGCCCAAGACACTTGTTTCTCTAAAGAGATGAAACTCTGAAAGTAGTATAGTCCTGATACACTGTCGGCAGCCAGACTGTTCTCTACAATATTACATGTTAGGTAAACCTGGAATATTTCTCTCTCTAATCCTCAGAGTCAGCTGTTAGGATATAGATATTCAGGCCTGTCTGCAAAGGCCTGTCCTTTAAGAATTTAGGGGTATTCTTATCACTTGGCTAGTTCTAGAGGTATAAAAGAAAGAATCAAAATCACTGTCTGCTGGTGTAAGGGCCTTCTCTTACTGTGACAGTTTGAGGCCCTGTTCTTAGGCTAAGGCCTTTGGCTAAGCAGCAGAGGCAGTCATAAGCTAGGAAGCGAACAGTCACATCCTCACATTCCAAACTAGTCACATTAAAATAAGGTGCTATTGGGCTGTCAGGCACTATCAGGACAGGATTGTATTCCTATCACCTCCAGAGAAAGGGAAGTGCCTAGAAAATGTAAAAGGAAACTTAGTTTGATAGCATCCTGTCTGGCAAGAACTCACTTATCAATAGCTGGGATGTGAAATCCTCACTTCTGTATTATTTTGACATTATAGTTCCCACTTTGCTATTGTTTGTCTGTATAATCTCTGTCTGGTTCTGTGATTGTTTCTGTCTGCTGTATAATTAATTTTGCTGGGTGTAAACTAATTAAGGTGGTGGGATATAATTGGTTAGCTAATCATGTTACAATATGTTAGGATTGGTTAGTTAAATGTCAGTAGAATGATTGGTTAAGGTATAGCTAAGAATATTACTATATAAATTAGGGGCAAACAGGAAGTAAGTTGGGATTCGAAAATAAGGAAAAAGGAACTTGTATTTAAGCTTGCTGGAAGTTCACCCCAATAAACATTGAATTGTTTGCACCTTCGGACTTTGGGTATTGTTGCTCTCTGTTCATGCGAGAAGGACCAGGGAAGTGGGAGAGTGAAGGAATAAGCTCTCTAACATCAGCTTTCAGAGTATTGCTGTAGATAACCTTTAAACTACTTTTATTTCTGATTTCACTGTATTGGAAATATTACTAACACATTCTGCTTCAGATTTAATCTGAGTTGACCTGAGTTTTGACAGTTTTATCTGGGAGAAATTTTCACACAGATTCTCAGAAGGGAATATATTTCTCTCTCTCCAGGGAAAAACAGAGCACTCTTCTGCTGGAGAGACAGGTGAACATGGTCAAAAGCATTAAGACAGTGTCACACAAGAGCCAATAGGTATTATAGTGGGTGCCAAGAAGATCAAGTGGCCTGAAAATACAAAAACACTGTTCTACAGAGCTATGGAGATTATAGATGTAATGAGGCAGTGGCCTCCCTCTAAGCATGAGTCTGTGGGACCACTACACTCTGGTGGGCAGAGCCGCGCTAGCCCCATCCCCCAAGCCAGAAGCAGAGGAGTATGACAGGAAGTAGACAAGGCAGGCCCTGCAGCTCAGTTTGCTAGAGCTAGGGAAGGAGACAGACATCTCCAGCCCAATGGAGAACTCCAGAACTGAACCTGTGCTGTGCAGCACTCTGCCCCGGAGGAGACGGACCCTGGAGAGGAGTTGCTGGGACTGCTGTCCACAATGTACCCGGAGGAGACAGAGGACCCTTGGACTACGGAGTCCCCTGCCCTGCCCAGATTGTGGTAGGAAGTAGCCCAGGGAAACCAGACTTTAGTCCGGTTTTGTTGCTGGCGCACAAGTCAGCATGTTTCAGTGGGATCCCGACTAACCCAGTGGTGGAACCATTCGCCACTATTAGGCCCCAGGACGGGGGCCAGGTGGAGCCAGGTGGGCCCGGGTCCCCCTACCTTCTGCTACCAACCCCACTCCTGAGGTGGTGGCCTATTCACCCCTTGGCCAGTAGGCCTGTGCTTTGCTTGTGGCAGGCCCCAGACTGGAAACTGCGGGCTGCCTTAGCCAGGAGGCTTAGGCAAAAGCCTGCTTCCTGCTCTCCCAACCCAGAAGGCCAGGGCCCCTGTGATTGCCCCTGCTCGAGCCCTAAGGCTTTGGCTAGGGACTGCTTACCGCTCTGCCCGCCAGAAGGCCAGAGCCAGACTGTTAATCGACTGTTTGTTGCCTGACACAGAGTGGCATCCTTTTGAGCCTAAGCCCAAGGGACCACTACAGGGGACGGCAACCTTCGGCATGTGGCCCATCAGGGTAATCCACTGGTGGGCCGTGAGACATTTTGTTTACTGCCCGCCGCTTCCCACAGCTCCATTGGCCAGGAACAGCACACTGTGGCCACTGGGAGCTGCGGGGAGGCATGCCTGTACACGGTCAACGTAAACAAAATGTCTCGCGGCCCGCTAGCAGATTACCCTGATGGGCTGCATTCCCAAGGTTGCCGACCCCTGGACCACTACAATAGAATCCTCAGCGAAAAGCAAATTGACTTAATACTATTCTTTAGTAATAGAAACTATGCCACTCTCTCCTAGAAGCTTTCCAACTAAGTGACATAAAGAGCATGAAAATAGTGGCCGCCCATACACAGGTCTTCTTCAAGTGAGAGCATAAAAGAAGATATTGATCAGAATGCAAATTTTATATTCCAAGTCATAAATATCCTCTATAAAGAGCTCAGGGATAAACATTAAAAGACATTAAAAACTATTGCCCCAAATGACAACATCAAACTGAGAAACTATAGACCCTGAAATTCATGCTTTATACTTTTGCTTTGGAGGGTATTATTTTATATCCTTCCAACTTTTAGAAGATTTTTCCACATCTTGAATTTTTACGAAGTTCACAGAGTAACAGGGGCTTCGAATGTTGCATGCAGTCTTGGCAATTAACCACTAGAATCTTACAGCTGTAGATTTCTTCGTAGTGAACGTTTAAGATAATCTGTAAAAACTATAAGAGCTATGCTAATAACATCTAAAAGGTGGCCCAAGAATGCTCAAAGAGGGTCACTAAGCAACGAACCAAGTATACCAGCCAGGATAGAGCATATTTTGTTTTAGCACTCAAACATCTACAATTTTATTTCAGTGTGCTACTTTAAACTGCTCGTTTCATTTTCATGCTCACAGTCAAATGCCATTACTACATTCCTACAGCATGCAACAGGCCCCATGGCATATCTTAAACAAGAGTTACTGACCTGAGTCCCCCAGGCAACCAGTGTAACATCACTTCCCTCCTGCAGTACCTCAGCTTGAGACAGTGGGATGTAGTATGGTTCCACAGGAACTTGTTCCACTGAATAAATAAAAGTTTACAAAGGAAGCAACAAAGATTAGATTCTCTTACCATGCAGTATTTGACCAAGAAAATGTACTATTCTGAAAATCAAAACAGATAATCTTTAATGTATTTATTAACACTGTACTGGAAACAATAAGCCCAAATTCATGTGAAATAGTAATATCACAAATCCCAAACTGTGTCAGAGTACAAAATTATGTTTGACAATGATACCGCTATTTGTTCATCACAGTGCTCCATGCCTCATATCCAATAATCTTGAAAAAATAAATGCATACCACTGATACTCAGTAACAATACCCTGATCATCATTAAATCAAAAGGTAGTATGTAAACAAAGTATACACGGTTTTGTGGTGTAATTAAAGGTTTTATCAGCTAATTAGAATGACTTGAAATAGCTTTTTCTAAACAAATATTGCTTATTCACCCAAAGAAACAGTGATCAGAGAAAAGGATTAAAACAACAAAAGCGTATGTGGTCTCATCTAAACTTTATCCTATCTTTGCAAGTTTAGGAAGGGTATGCTAACTCAGACAACCCCACCTCTGGGCTGGGAGAGAAAGATTGCCGCTGCCCCCCCCCCCCTGTATTCTCTTCTCTGCCTCTCTCTCTCTCTCTCTCTCGGCAACTCACCCCGTTCCTTTCGATCGCTAGAATCTGATCTTAGTAAAACAGCTATGTAAGTTTTAGCAGGCACCTGGGAAATCCTCTTCCCAATTAATGGTTCAGCTATCGTTCCCTTACTTCCTTAAAGTTACAGATATCTCCTTCATTGTCCATAACCACATATTAAACAGGAAAAAAATAAGTGTTTCAGAGAGTTTTTAAAAGTTTGCTTTGTACTCATTTTCATATTCTTCTATCTTTAAAGTCAGAATACCTCAATATCATCAGTCTAACCAAAGGGGACTTTGAGGGCAATGAAAATGCTACCTAACATCTTAAATAGATTTCTATATAGAATCATGTCAGGATTTTAAGATCAATCTCAGGACTTTCTACAACTAGAAGTAAATGCTGGAATATTCCACTGTAAAGATTGGATCACTTTGCCAAAAAACTACATCTCCCATTTCTAAGCTTGGATCACAAAACAGAAAACTTAATACCACCACTGGTGCAAGACTAAAGATTGTCTGCCTATTTCCTTAGTCCAGTATATGAAGAAGGTGAAATTGCACTCTCAGTAGGTTGCTTTTAAAAATAAAGTAATGATAATGGCTTGAAGGAGAGTTATTCAAATGATTGATTCCATACACTGCACTAGTAAAATGCCTCTATCATATTCTGAAAAGCTCACTTAGACATGAGAGGATGCTTCAGTTTCTATGCCTTTTCAAATTCTTGGTTTTTCTGCTGAGACTCAAGAAAAGTGCCCATTATGAAGCCAGCTTTCCAACCAGGATTTAGATAAAAACAACCAACTTATTTCCTAAAGATCTTATCTGAGCTTATCTGCTACCTGAAAAGTTCTCTCTACCTATCCCCGCTCCCCAAACACAAAATGCAGCTCTGATCGCGCAAGCAGCTCTGTATGGGCAGACTTCCTCTCCTCAGAGCAATGGGGAACCTGGAAGGTAGAGTGTGACTCAAAGTCTGTTCTGCTTCAGGAGGAATACACCACCACACTCTGGCACCACCACTCTAACCTTGTGGCAGGTTCAGGGCAAAGAAAAGACTGAGCCCTCAGCAAATACATTATTTTAAAAATAAATAAATAAATGCAAAATTAATTGACACTATTTCAAACAACGTTTTTTCTGCTATTTGATCTGCTCTAGAGGTAAAACCTCCTTCTAAAAATATATATTAAATGAAAAGTTGATTGACAATGTTAGATTAAACTACAGAACACAATGAAAAGGACACAACTGTTAGATTCCTGAAAAGTGGAGGAATCTCTCCATCCCTTCACTCAGTTTTAGGGTGTTTATTCCCACTTCTGCTCTTGGATTTCCCAAGCAGCAGGAAATGTAGCTGACCAATCTGATTATTCAAATTCAGCTTCTGACCCAGTTCCCTGAAATTAGAACAGGTTCAAGTTTTGTTCCATTTCTAGTTTGCACAGGGCTTGGAAAATGTATATGTAAAATATAAATGACTATCAGGTTTAAAAATCTCATAGTCATATTTACACACACACGCTATTAGGCCTGATCCTGTGAAGAGTTACACACATGCTTAACTTTATCTAAGTGGTTCACAGGGCACTAAGTTAGGCACATGCTTATGTCTACACAGGGTTGGGGCATTGTGCTCTTTACCTTTAGAGGCACCTTTAGTAAGGGAACACATATGAGTCACTATGACAAATAGTGCTGTTTAGCTTGTCTCTTCAAGCTGTGAAGTGGCATAAATTCTATCTTCATATCTGAACCAAGCACTTTCATGCACCACAGAATCAACAAGATAAGACAAGATAAGAACCCACCTCTGATCAGAGGAACCAACTTTTAGTTATTCCTGGGTGTGCTCCACCCGTTCTACCCGAGGCCTCGCCCCACTCCACCCTTTCCCCCAAGGCCCCACCCTCACCTCTTCCTCTTCCTATCCCTGCCCCACCCCTCCCTGAGGCCCCTGCCCACTCATTGCTCTCCGCCCTCTCCCAAGCTACTCCCCAAGCCACCAAACAGCTGCTCAGTGGCACCACCGATAAGCACTATTTTTTTTTCCATGGGTGCTCCAACCCCAGAGCACCCACGGTGTCAGTGCCTATGCCTCTGATTACTATATTTGTCAAATCTTTTATAGCCATACAAGAATAAATCATGATAGTACAACCTAATTTCCTTCTTGGACAGGGTTACTGGCCTATTGGATACAGGGGAAGCAGTAGATGTGAAATATCTGATTTTACCAAGGCTTTTGACACAGTCCCATTGACATTCTCATAAGCAAACTAGGGACCAGTGATTCTCAAAGTGTGGGGCACACCCCACTCGGGAAGTGCAGAGGAACATTTGGAAGGGCATGCGGTGGGGCAGGGAGGAAGGGCCATCCTTCCAGCTGTGCTCCACCCCCAGTCTTGCTCCGCCTCTAGGCCTAACTCCTCCCCCATCCCTGCCTCCAATCCAAACTCCACTGCTGAAGAAGCCTTAGCTGTGCAGTAATGGGGGGGAGGAGGGAACATGACAGATTCTGTTACTGGGAGTGGGGGGGCACGACTGGGAAAGTTTGAGCACCTCTGGTCTAGATGGAATTACTATAAAGTGGGTGCACAACAGGTTGAAAAACCATACTCATAGTAATCATCAAAGGTATGCTGTCAAATTAGGAGGATGTATCTAGTCAAATCCTGCAAGGGTGTGTCCTGTGTCTGGTGCTGTTCAACATTTTCATTAATGACTTAGAAAATGGAGTGGAAAGTATGCTTATAAATTTTTGCAGATGACAGTGTCACAAGTGGTCTGAAGTGGCCCAGGAGCATGAGTACCAACCTCAGGGCAGACTGCTAAGAAGCAGGGCACAAACCCCCAACTGGCTATGAATTCTATACTTAGATTTAATCAACCAAGTATAAGTGTAAACTCAGGCACTATAACAACCTAACCATGGAGTCAGAGAGAGTCTCCTTGGGTATTCTGGTCTATCTTGCCCCTAGGCAAGCTTCCCTTGGTGAGAGATGGGCCCTTACACAAAAAAAATCACAACAATATTCAGGTTACTCCCAATCCCAAAGGACCAGTCACTTACCCCAGATCAACTGCACTTTACACCAAAGACTCTGAAGAAGAGGGGAAACCAGGCAAGGAGTGTGAGCATGCAGAGTCCATCTCAAAGAACTCCAATTACAAGTGAGTAACCTTCATTTCTTCTTGAAGTGGCTTCTGCATTCCCATGCATGGGATAGTTTAGTAAGTAGTAACTGTATTCAGGAAGAAGGGACATGAACTGCTAATTAAAAAGGGGTGGAAGAACTACCTTGCCAAACCTAGCATCTAATGTGGATGCTAAATCCAGGGAATGATGTTTGGTAAAGGTGTAAATGGAACTCCAAAATCCCTTCTGGGGGGGCGACCAATGCTAACTTACAGGCCTCCTGCATGCATAATCTAGTCCATCTTGATGACGTTTTCAAAATAATAGCCAAGCCCATTTTTCTACATGAATAAGGGGTGGATAGACTCGGGGACTTCCTAAACTCTAGTTCTATCTATATGATAGGTTAGAGCCCATTCTGCATCTGGGATGTATAATCTAGTGTCATCTGGATGATTACGCAGTCTTGGAAAAGATAAGTAAATTGACTGACTGGTTAATGTGAAAATTTAGTAACCACTGTGACACTGCACCCTATATTCTTCACAGTGATATTATTATAGGATTGACATATCTTGCATAAAATACATCATAGCTAAGTCATGTGAGACGTCATTGGAAAGGGGTTACGATCTGCTGAATAAGATTATCCTATCTGTATGTATATATCATTTTTGTGTCCAAAGTTATAAATATTGACTACGTATCTATTTCACATATGGCTATTCCTGGGCAATGCCCACTAGGCAAAAGGCTCTCAGTCTAGATGGCTGGCTGGAAAGGGCCCATTCAAGTTAAATGAGCCATTAGAGGGAACAACAGGCCTTAGGAGAAGCTTATCTCCGACCTGGGGAGCCTTCCTGAGGACGCTACAGACCGCCTTCGAGTAATGGCTGCTGTAACACTACAAGGACATGACAGGGATGTCAGTATTTTTACACTGATTGGCATAAGAACCAAGCTTTGAAACAGAAGGTTCCCGCCCTATACAAAAGTTGTATAAGACAGGGCAGTGACATCGTCTTGGTTCTTCACTGACTTCCCCACCCAAGAAGACTCCTGGAAACACCTGAGGAACAAACAGTGAACTGGGGGAAGTGCTGGACCCAGGTTAAAGGGATTTTTAGCCTGTAAATGGAACACTTGGGGATTCCAAGCTGTAAGCAAGTGATCTTGCGCCTTAAAAGTCTGGAGCCTGCATGTATCATCATTTTGGATATGAATAGCAAAT